TTGAAAGTGTATAATTGTGACAGCACTGGATGGTGCTTGCTGGGAGGCTGCCCTGAGACCAGAGGTGGCCCTAGGTAATTTTCAACGGTAAGCAAACAGTATTTTGGCACGCCCCCAACCAATCACTGATATATATTTTCTGTTCATCATGGGAGTTCTGTGTGCCATATTTGGTTCAATTCCATCATTGGTGGAGTTCAGAATGCTCTTTGATTTTAAGTGAACTATACATCCCAGTAACTACAACTCGCATACGCCAAGGTCTATTTTCCCCCAAGAGTGCCTCAAGAGCGCCCCTGGGCAAAATCAGCTATACTGCAAATGCTTACTTTGCATAATGGGTTGAGCCACCCCTGCCTAGGTTACAAATGCAGTAAATAAATAAATAATAAATAAATAAACTACATTTTGTCATTTCAGACAAATAAGAAATTTGGAAAATATGACAAGTGGTTAAGGGGCTCAGTGGACAAAACAAGTCTGAGTGGCTGCAACTTCACAAACACCTCTGGGGCCGTAAGAAAAAAAATCCCTGGGGCACTTTGCACACGGCTGCATTTATTGGGATTGCCACTTAACATTTGGAGAACCACATGTTCCCCACTCGGAATTTATTCCTCTTTTCTTCCTAGTTTTACCATGCATGATTAACAGTGAGCAAATTTAAGTTTTGCCTCATAGCATGGAGTCCACATTCTGACTTGAGATGCACAGTACTGAGGATTTACCCAAATACTAAGGAGATTTTGCATCGGGTGGCATCTGGTGGTTTCTACGTCAGCAGGAGAGAGAATCAATTCTAGATTCTCACTAGTGTTGAATGAGCTATCTGAGGTGCTGTAATGAGTTAGGCCTAGGGTTCAGTACCTTGGAGAGCATCTTTAACGCCTGGATGAATAGTATCTTGGAATGGATTCCCCAGCTAATCACCAGTAGTTCTAAGGGAATTATTTCAAGAAGGGTCAACAGAAAGATAAAATTGCCAAATGAAATAGAGGACAGAGTTCCAATGTCTTTTAAAGGTTTTGTAAAATAAATAGTATTTTTGGTTTTTTGTTCTTGTGGGTTTTTTGATCAGCAGGTGTGCATATTTTGCACTGTTAAAGGAGCAGGAGACATTCATGTGTTCCACTTGGTTACCCTACAAGTATTTCAAAAACTGAACACTGCTACTAACATTGTAGGAAAATAGTATTGATGCTGTATGAGGAATGCTTTAATACTATTATTTCATGTTTTCTTCTTCTCCTCTAACACCTACTCACTTCCCGTTGGTTTTCTTCTTATTACTCATAGCACATGTACACAGTGTGTGCTGATGTAGCCTGGGAGATACTTGTAAACCCCCAGAAAGATATAAATACCTCTTGTGAGATTCCGATGGTAAACAGTGAAATGCACTCTTTTAGGAATGGGTCCTTCTGTTTTCTTTTCATCCTTGCCTTTATTCACTGGAAGCTGCCTATAAAGAATGAAAATTGCTTCCTTTTTAATTCAGATGTTGTCATGTTGTTTTGCCTAGCAAGACTCGGGCAACTGTTGACATGAAAAATTGTCTAGTTGATATGATGGTTAAAGCAAACTCAAAGGCACCGTATAATTTAGGCCATTTTAGTTCACTGGTGCTTGACTGCCTGTTTGGCAAGCAAGGCTGCGCATTAGTGCTGTGTCAGTATATGCCCGTTCTGAATCTGACAGCCAAAGAATCATTGGGCCAGATCCGCAATACAGAATTAAGCCAAACCTCTCAATTGGTTTGCTATCAATGCAGTGCTGTAGGTGACATGTGATGTTGAGGAAGACAGACATTATTTATATCACATATAGTGCAGGCTGTGTATAAGACTATTCCCCAAAAAATATAAGAAACCATCATGCCACCACTCTGGGACTTGATTTGAACCACAGCACAAAAACATCTGACTCTCAAAGTTATTTTCAGTTCATTGTTCATAAAATATACAAAGTAATAATACAGCTGAAAACACTTTTTAGCAATTGTGAGTCCCTTTATAGAGCTGCTGTGGTTTGGTGGTTTGACTAACAGTAACACAAAGGACTAGGACTCTGGAGAACAGGGTTCAAATACCTGTGGAAACTCTCTGTGTGACCTTGGGCAAGTCTCTCAGCTGTGGCAGAAAGAAAAATCCTCCATGAAAATGTCACCATAGAAATAACTTGAAGATACAATGACAACGAAATCTGTTTCTCTCACTTGTAAATGAATTCCCTTGTCTATTTGGTTTTTCCCCCCTCACATATCAGGAGTGACTTGAAAAACTACAAGTCACTTCTGGTGTGAGAGAATTGGCCGTCTGCAAGGATGTTGCCCAGGGGACACCTGGATGTTTTGATGTTTTACCATCCATGTGGGAGGCTACTCTCATGTCCCTGCATGGGGAGATGTAGCTGACAGAGGGAGCTCATCTGAGCTCTCCCTGAATTCAGACCTCCGACCTGTTGGTCTTCAGCACAAGGGTTTAACTCATTGTGGTACCAATGAGTTAAACCAACATTATCTGTAATGAAAACAACATTATCTGTAATAAAAGTGAGTGGTTCTGTATAGTTTTCTGATCAGCCTGAGCTCTACATCTACCTCATGAGGAGATGTAGCTGACAGAGGGAGCTCATCTGCGCTCTCCCTGAATTCAGACCTCCGACCTGTTGGTCTTCAGTCTTGCCAGCACAAGGGTTTAACTCATTGTGGCACCAACGAGTTAAACCAACATTATCTGTAATGAAAAGTGAGTGGTTCTGTATAGTTTTCTGATCAGCCTGAGCTCTACATCTACCTCATTTTTTACCCGGTAAGAACCAAATAAGAAAAAAAAAACCTAGGGAAAAATCTGATGGCTTTGACTATAATTGAATCCCTGACAATTAGAGGGGAAGTAGAAATTAGTTAAAATAACCAATATATCTTGTGATTTGAGTGTTAAATTAGGTCTCTAGGAGACCAGGGTTCGAACTCTTGCTCTCAGCCAAGGTAAACAACTACTGTTAGTCACAGAAAAAGGCAATGGCAAATCACCTCTGAAATAATCTGGTCAAGAAACCCTTATGACTTGTTTGCCTTAGGGTCTATATAGGTTGGAAATGACTTGAAATAACAACAATGAATTAATTACCTAGTACGCTACCTATTCCACATTTTTGGTGGCTTTCTCTGGAATCAACTGTGTGAGCCTCAAGATGGAGAGAGTGCTCCAACAAGTCTTAATAACCCATGATTCCGAAATCATGGAGACACTAGGGCTGCACTTCCCTAGAATTAACTCTGCTTTCTTTACACCATATATTGCTTTTAATGCAATTTGTGCTTGTACACTAGTTTTGATGGACATGAATATGCAGTTACAAGATTTATCTCACTGTAAGAGGTTGACCAGTTATTATGGTTTGGAAAAAACCAAGTCCCTCCTGGTTTTTCAGTAGTATGTCTACTGCATAACACAGGAAAAGGTTGACCTTGTTCTTGAGAGACCTCTTTGTGTACTTACCACACAAAACTGTTTCAGACTCTTCCCAATGTCATTATGCCCAGCATTTGTTTTTTTAGTAAATATTGGTTCTCCACACCACATTGACTTTATGGCCTGCCAAAAATTATATACATATAGATGACTTGTTATCCTACATGGGCTGCAGGGAGGACAGTGTGGTTCAATAATGCCCTGTTGATCTTGAACTAGCTCCATTGATTCATAAAGCAGACTTGCAGTGGACCCATAGGCATCTGGGATCCACTGCTGGCACCAGCCATTAGTAGCAAACTCAAAATTGCCGTGAAAAGAGAGCACTGCCCAGTTTATGGCTGCAAATGGAAGAGCTACTTGAAATCCAGTCAAGCTTAAATGGATCCATATAGAAATACTCAGGGTAGTTATATGCCTCTCCAGAGCCAATGGCATCTAGAACTTGCTGGTAGTGAAGTAATTTATGTGTGATCACAGGCTAGAGCTGTGGGGTGGACATAATGTTCCCCCCAATGTTGTTGCATCTCAGTTCCTAACCATCAGTGATGAATAATGCTGGGAGCTGCCATCCAAAAGTATCTGGAGGACAACGTAATTTCCACCCATGGCTTAAAGCAGTGGTTCTCAATCTATGGGTCCCCAGGTTTTTGGCCTACAACTCCCAGAAATTCTAGCCAGTTTACTAGCTGTTAGGATTTCTGGGAGTTGAAGGCCAAAACATCTGGGGGACCACAAGTTGAGAATCACTGGCTTAAAAGTTTAAAGACCTATTGGGTTGGATCCACATGTAAAGATACTTAAAGGATACTGAAAGAAGTGGGACTGAAGGAAGCCATGACTGCCTTGGGTCATTGATTTCAGTGGGCAACCTATAAGTATGACTAAATCTGAATTCAAGCCATTTTGACCTTCAATCTAAGGCTCATATCCTAATTCTAATTAGTAGTCTCAACAAGATTTGGTTGTTAATTGCCTGCAAGCCATCTTCCATTTATGGTGACTCTATGAATGAAACACCTCCAAGTCACCCTATCTTCAACTGCCCTGCTGAGGTCTTGCGAACCCATTATTCCTTAATTAGATCCATCCATTTGTAATACAATCTTGCTCTTTTTCTCATTGCCTTTTACCTTGAGTTGCATTCCTGCCTTTTCTAGAGAATTCACGCTACTTGTGATGTGACCAAAGTATAATGGCTTCAGTTTAGTCCTCCTAGCTTTTGATAAACTCGAATCAGTTACTGAATCAGAATACATTGTTGATTTTAATGATCCTGCTCTACTGTTTCCCCACACAATCATGGTACTTTAGTTATTGTGTGGCTTCAGTAGGGTTTTGCACCTTATTTTAAGAGTAATCTACAAATCAAGACCAGTGATGAGAGAGTTTTCTTATCATGGTTGCCACTTAAATTGAGTGTATGAACTTATTTTGAGCTGGTTGATAGGAGGAGAAGAACTTCATTTTTGATGTTTTCTGTAAACATGGTCTTTCATGGGCGTGTGGGTGTGTGTATTTCAGGAGACACAAGGTGTACCGAGAAGAGCGCAACCTCACCTTGGACTCCATGATTCAACTGAGACAGGAGGCAAGTTGGCTCCAGTTCCACCTCGGCATTAATCGCCAGGCCCTGTATCCACGGGACAGCCCAGCTATTGACCAACTTTTGGAGGAAGTACAAGTTTTGAACACCGTCAGTGCTGGTAAATTCACTTTCTCATATATGCTTACAGTCAGCGAGCTGTGTTCTTGAACAGACCAAGTTGAAGGTGTGCAAGTCAGATGATGGATAGTCAATTAATTGTTCCTGAAAAATACCTGTGTCTAATTTCCACAGTGGAAGTTTCTGTTCTTGTTTGGGGGGCGGGGGGGTTAGTTAAAAGTTTTGTATCATTCTTTTTTCCCCATTTTCTATCCCAGAACTATTTTTATTACAAAAATTAGAGGAAAAATAATAAGGAATATGAAGAAAATCTGATAGTAAGATAATAATGGATGAAATCATTGCAGCTGTGAAGCTGATCCCATCAGTGGAACTCGTAGGAAGCATACGCCTCCCTTCCCTCACATTGTTGTTATTGTTGTTGCTGTTGTTGTTGTTGTTGTGTGCCTTGAAGTTGTTTCTGACTTATGGCAGACTTATCGAAGACATTCAGGTCTCCAAAAACCATGATGAAGTCTCCTTTCTTTATCATGATTTTTGATGACCTGAAAGTCTCTGACTCACCTGTTGTTACCTATGACTGAGTGGAGAATCCAGCATTTAAAGCACTATACCATGCTGTCTCTCACAAATCTGTTCTACCTGAGCCCTCCAGAAAGGTTTTAATAAGATGTAAGTGGTGGACATAGCAAGAAAAAAGTCTGTTGTGTGAGTATATTTCAGCTGTTGAATCTTGGGAAAGGCTAGTTAACATATAATTAATAACTAATCCCATTTCCTGCAGTATGAACTGTGGTGCTGGAGGAAAGTGCTGAGAGTGCCTTGGACTGCACAGAAGATCCAACCAGTCCATACTTCAGGAAATAAAGCCCGACTGTTCATTGGAGGGAAGGATAGTAGAGGCCAAGATGAAGTACTTTGGCCACATCATGAGAAGACAGGAAAGCTTAGAGAAGACAATGATGCTGGGGAAAAAGGAAGGAAAAAGGAAGGGGGGTCGACCAAGGGCAAGATCGAAGGATCCTTGAAGTGACTGGCTTGACTGAAGGCGCTGGGGAGGTGACAGCCGACAGGGAGCTCTGGTGTGGGCTGGTCCATGAGGTCACGAAGAGTTGGAAACGACTGAATGAATGAACAACAACAATCCCATAGTCGTTCTGACTGGCTGGGAAGCAATAAATTGAGTGGGATATTTTTCACTATATATTTCATACCACTTTGTGTCCCATTTTGGGAGAATGGCAGGACATAAATAAAATTACGAAGCATCCATGTTTAATTCTAGAAAGGTACACCTCTAAAGTCTCAATAGCTCTTTGCCTGCCAACATAAGAGTCTGATATTCAGGCCTGTGGCCAGGAAAAAAAAATGTGCTGATCACCACTAGGACCACCTTGACTGGCTTGTGCCAAAGTCATTATTATTATTATTATTATTATTATTATTATTATTATTATTATTATTTAATGAAGTCTGAACAGCATTTTTGGCCATGTTTATCCAGCCTGAGATATGGAAGACAAAAGCTAGGGGACAATACAAAAAAATTATAAGACAAAAGGGCTGTGAATGGTGTTGACTAGCTGTTCAATCATGACTGAGTGAACATGAGACAAGGACATTACATAAAATAATATGGTTGCAACCTTCCTCAGTATTATAACAGAAATTGTATTAATTTGAACATGTATTTGCAAAAAAAAATGTGGTTTGGTTGGTTCTCCCTGCTGTGCTGTGCCAGGACCATCTTGAAACCATATGGTCTTTCCTGCTGGCATATTCACGTAGAAGCCCACCCACACAAATGGCAATAATCACAAACCCAAACATAAGACACACAATGCAAAATTCCTCTCAGAATCATCTACATACCATCTGTCCTGTCCCTGAAGCTTGCCAGGTATGGACCGTTTTCTGTGAGCCGCTTCCGGAGACGTGAAAATAGCTACACTGTTTTACTGTCTTTCCTGAATTTGTGTTGACAAGTGTGCCTTCAAGTTTTTGGTACACTTCACGTATGGCAACCTCAAGGTGTTTCTATCATAGATTTTCTTTGCAGAATTTGTTGAGAGCTTTTTGCCTTTCCTTCTCTAAAGTTGAGAAAGTGTGACTTGCTCATCACTCAGTAGATTTCCATGACTGAGTAGGGATTTGAACCTTTTTTTGCCAGAGTCATAATCTGATTCAAATCACTGTACCATGCTGGCTCTTACTCCTGTTTTTTGTGCATTGTGATATGCATAAATTACTCACAGAATGTAAAAGGATGACTGTATCATTCATCTATAAGGGGCATTTTCCTAATAACTGTATGATTTTAACAAGTTTCCCACTAGATGTTTTTTTAAAGAAACCCTTTCTCTCACACACACATATTCCCCATATTTTAAATTATTTTCTTACAATTTTTTCCAATATATAAAAAGCAGAAAATATAAAAACATAAAGAATAAATGAGGGAAAACAATATACAGAAGAACAAAATTCTATTCTTCCAATTTTCTAACAATGGTTATACATTTTACTATTTCTATTTTCTCTGAAATCAATACTATTCACAAACTTCTTTATCTTAACTAAACTTATAAGTTATCAAATCCACGCTTAATATATTATTTTCGATGAAAAAACAATCAAGGTTATTTCACCTCATTATAGGTTTCTTCCCAAATTGTGTGATCATCTGGGCATTCTGAATCCTCTTCCAAACATCGCACATTTTCTTCTGATATTTTGATCTTTGTCATTCATACACTTTATTCAATTTTCATATGTACGCTCCAGCTGCAGCAGCCACATTTGTCCTTGTCATAGTTCAGAGGTCAACAAAATGTGTTTTCACACTTCTTAAAATGTGTTTTTCTTTATTATTCTTGTCTTTTGTAAAATGTTTTTATAAAGCAAGCCTTCAAGGAGCGGTTTTAAGAGCTTGGGCATGAATAGCCTGCAGAAGAGAAGGCTGAGAAGAAACATGATGAAGGCTATGTATAAATATGTGAAGGGAAATCATAGGGAGGGGGGAGCAAGCCTGTTTTCTGCTGCCCTAGAGACTAGGACACGACACAATGGCATAAAACTACAGGAAAAGAGATTCTACCTGAACATGAGGAAGAACTTCCTAACTGAGAGCTGTTCAGCAGTGGAACTCTCTGCCCCAGAGTGTGGTGAAGGTTCCTTCTTTGAAGGCTTTTAAGCAAGGCTGGATGGCCATCTGTTGGGGGTGCTGTGAATGTGATTTTCCTGCTTCTTGGCAGGGGGTTGGACTGAATGGCCCACGAGGTCTCTTCCAACTTTATAATTCTATGATTCTATTATTTAAGTCCCCTTGCTCTACAGTTCTCTCTATGTAAATTCCCTAGTTCTGCTTTTTATCAAAAGCTCTTTCGATAAGTCCCAAAGTCAATTGACTCACATGTTTTGTTTATGCAAAGAAGTGAATTCACCAGAAGTTTTAGTCATATCATTGTACTCAAAAAGCCTGTTTTAGGCATAATCTGTTATTTTAATTCCACTTGATTAAAACGATGGGTTTTGTGGCTCTATAACCCTTTCTCAGGTAAGCTTCTCTCATGGTAAGGTTCTCCACCCATGATCATTCATCGCACAAGTGAAAATTTAATTCCCAGGAGTGGAGCTGCAGACCTTTGTAGGTGAACCCCCGGGCTCCTTTTAATCCAAGGAGGCAATTCTTAGCAGCCCAAAGGCAGTTTGTTGATGATCATGGTGCACAAAATCTACCATATCACCCAGGACCGCGATTTTACAAAACCTATCCAGACCCTGCTAGAAAACTGCAGCTTCTATGTGGAGTTTCAGGTCAAGAGAAGTGGATGGAGGAGGCAAAAGAATCATCTACCTCAAGGCAGTGTCCTTGCACCAATCTTGCTAACCATCAGCCACAACCACCACTCACAAGGAGCTTTATATCATACACTGATGACCTTGCCCTAACAACACAAGCAAAAGGCTTTGAAACAGTTGAAAACCAACTTACTAATGCCTTGAAAGATCTCTCCAGTTACTACAAAGATAACCACCTGAAGCTTAACCCTGCCAAGACATAATCATGAAGCCAACAGGAAACTGAAGGTTACCTGGGAAGGCCAAGAGCTTGAACACTGTTCCCACCCTAAATATCTCAGCATCACCTTAGATTAAACATTAACACTCAGGAAACACTGTGCAAGCACAAAGTAGTTGCATGCAATAACATCCTGCGGAAACTTACTAATAGTGCATGGGATGCAGACACAAAATTAATAAGAACATCAGCCCTGGCCTTGTGTTGCTCAACTGCTGAGTATGCCTGTCCTGCCTGGCAAAAGCAGGTGAATATAGCATTGAATGAGGCATGTAGAATAATCACAGGATGTCTTAAACCTACATCTATAAGTAGCTACCCCCCCCCCCCATGTGTGACAGGAAGGTGCTGCCTATTGCGAGAGAAACTCACCCACTGTATAGCTATCAGCCTCCTTACAGTAGACCTAAATCAAGGAAAAGCTTCATGAGAACTGTTGCTACTAGAGTTTTACAACAGGCTTTTCTAAGTAAAAAGGAGGATCAGAACCTTTTCTGTTATAGCTGCCACAAGTTAAATGGGTGTATTATCTTCTTCAGCATATAACAAGGCAAGCTTTGAGCTTTTCATTTGGCTTAGCTTGATGGCTCATTTAAACTGGAGAAACCTTTGGCTGTTGCTGGGAGCGGTTATGCAGTGTCCTGAAACTGAAGACTGAAGCTCTTTGGAGTGTCAAGGAAACTTCTTGTTTATGGCAAGATAAGGACATTCTACTGATAACTAAGTAGAGAGATTGTATTGTTTTGCTATGTGTTTGCATATCATCGTGTAAAGAAGAAGACTCACCAGAGTTATTGTTTGTTGTATATTGGTGACACCAAGTCTCCTGCTTTGCTTTGTGTTCTTCATCTACAGTGAATAGAACTATATTTTTTCTACTTAAAGCAACAGACTCATGTGTGTTTTTTTATCACACTGAGAGTAAAAGGGGCTGAGACTTTCTGCGGGCTACTAACAACACTATTTTGACAAGAACCACCACTCCCTAAATGTTCCTCCAGTAATAGCAAGAATATCCCTGTGGCAATCCCAAATGGATAGCCCCTTATGAGGGTCTTCCTCCAGGGGCAAACCAAGAATGGGAAACTTAGAAGTCCCTGAACAGATTCAGAAGTCAAGTTGGCAGATCAAAAGACAACCTGGCAAAGTGGCATTGCCTGAAAAAATCCTCCACCTTGTGCAACTGCAGAGTAGAACAAACAACTCAGCACCTGTATGCTTGTCCACAATGCACTGCCTCATGCACAGAGGAAGAACTGTTTAAAGCTACAGACAATGCAGTTGCTATTGCTCGTTTTTGGTCTAAAACTATTTAGCTGCTCGTGATCCCTTTACTTTATCAGTTTAAAACTTATTTATTATGCAATGCTTTTGACACAAAATAAAAATCATGGTACAAGGGATTTCCTCTTGCAGTAGGTCACTCATAAGGGGTGACAAATCTCCATGTCCAGCCCGGACGCCTCTCTCACCTACCCTCATTTTTTAAAAAAGCATCAATTTTCTAAAAGTTTTGAAAACATTTAAAGTGCAACCAATCTACCAACACCCATTAAAATATTCCCAAAGGAAACAATTGCTAATCAAAACTCTGCAGAATGAAAAGGTCATTGCTTGCTGAAGAAAGTCTTTCGCCTCTGGTGAGGCAGTTCCTGCAATTCCTTCTTAATTAATGTGACACCGAATCCACCCCTTAAAGGTTTTGGGTTTTTTAATGAAGCATGCTCATTTAATTAAATCGTTCTAATAATGTAAACATCCCTGTTTAATAACCAGATCATAACCCACAATTTTTTTTAAAAAAGCACAAATCAAAATTTTACAAAATAAAAACAAGGTTAAGAAAAATATAGAGCAATTACACTATTCTGATCACATCTATGTCCTGTGTGAGTGGGTTGTTGTAGGTTTTTTCGGGCTATATGGCCATGTTCTAGAGGCATTTTCTCCTGACGTTTCGCCTGCATCTATGGCAAGCATCCTCAGAGGTAGTGAGGTCTGTTGGAAGTAGGACAATGGGTTTATATATCTGTGGAATGACCAGGGTGGGACAAAGGACTTTGTCTGCTGGAGCTAGGTGTGAATGTTTCAACTGACCACCTTGATTAGCATTTAATGGCTTGGAAGTGCCTGGGGGAATCTTTTGTTGATAGGTGATTTGATGTGCCTGATTGTTTACTCTCTGTTGTTTTGCTGTTGTAATTTTTGAGTTTTTATACTGGTAGCCAGATTTTGTTCATTTTCATGGTTTCTTCCTTTCTGTTGAAATTGTCCACATGCTTGTGGATTTCAATGGCTTCTCTGTGTGGTCTGACATGGTGGTTGTGAGAGTGGTCCAGCATTTCTGTGTTCTCAAATAATATGCTGTGTCCAGGTTGGTTCATCAGGTGCTCTGCTATGGCTGACTTCTCTGGTTGAAGTAGTCTGCAGTGCCTTTCATGTTCCTTGATTCGTATTTGGGCAATGCTGCGTTTGGTGGTCCCTATGTAGACTTGTCCACAGCTGCATGGAATATGGTAGACTCCTGCAGAGATGAGAGGATCCCTCTTGTCCTTTGCTGAACGTCCTGTGTGAGTTTTGTGTAAAACCAGGTGTTCACTTGTTGTCATTCCATTTTTGTCCCCATACTGGCAAATAATACCTGGTAATCCCATCAAGAACGTTGCTGCTATTGTTGTAGCTCAGTGCTAGTGTATTTGTTCTACAAATACAAACTCTACAAATATAAGCACCCTGAAAATATTTAGGCCCCATTCACATTATACCATTACGTATATTACTATGAGTCCACTTTAACTTCTTGTGAAATTCTGGCGGTTGAGGGGCGTGTCATTAATATCCTCACCCAGGGGCATCTCTGATCAAAATACACATTTCAGGTTTCCATAAGAAGCAGCCTGGGAAAAGTTAAAGTAGGATCACACTTCTATAATATGAAAGGACCCTAGGTCTCATCTGATTCTGGAACATATACAAAATAACTTTATTGCAGCATTTGTGATAGACCTATTCCCCCCTCCAAACTCAAGCTATAGGGCCCTTCCACACTGCCCCTATATCCCAGGATCTGATCCCAGATTATTTGTTTATCCCAGGTTATCTGGTATTGGGGACTCGTATATTCCAGTTTAGAGCAGGTAATTGGGATCAGATTCTTGGATAAAGAGAAGTGTGGAAGGGCCCTTAGAGGGCAGCTTGTGGGATGAAAGCTGAACTTTAAAGGAGAGATCCAACCTTCTGAATCTTATGTTCAAAATATGTCCAGTTGATTAAAGCCAGTTTTAGTCAGGAAATTAAAACTTGTGTCTTGTGTTTAATCTTTGTTCTGTGTATTTTATTATGTATTTTATAGACATATGTGTATTTTATAAAATGTTTTAGATGATTATGTGTTTTTAGTGATGTTGTAATCCACTTCGAGCTACGAGGAGAGGTGGGTAATAAATACAATTATTGTTGTTGTTGTTGTTGTTGTTAAAGGGTTTCAGATTAAACCCTTGGGTGGATTTACTACTTCCTTGATACGGAGCCACTTGGTCCAGCATCTACTGTCATAATAGTGCTATGTGTGCCTACACCTTGTTTTCAAGAAATCTTCTCTGTTCAGTGAATCGAATTTCAATCCCTTTTCTTTTTTGCTTCAGATTACAGCCAGGATGAAAAAGCATTGCTAGGCGTCTGTGACTGCACACAAAGTAGGTAGACGGTGTTCTGTTTCCATAACCTTACTTGATTAATGCAACATGGGAATCCTTTGTACTGCAAAGAGTAACTACATTTTAATAACAGCAGTGATTATTATACTACTCTGGCCCCTTCTACTCTGCCATATACAATCCAGATCAACACAGATAATCCACATTATCTGCTTTGAACTGGGTAATATGAGTGTACAGTGCCATATAATCCGGTTCAAAGCAGATAATCTGGATTTTATATGGCAGTGTAGGGCCCCTCCTACACTGCCATATAAAATCCAGATTATCTGCTTTGAACTGGATTATATGGCAGTGTAGACGCATTATCCAGTTTAAAGCAGAAAGTGTGCATTATCCAATTTGATAATCTGGATTATATGGCAGTTTAGACGGGGTCTCTTTTTCTGTTTATCAGGAAAAAAAAGGTTGATGGTCCCATGCACTTTCCCTGTGCAAATTATCTGTAGTGCAAGGCAATTCTGACAGGGATTCTGCTTTTCCATTCACACCAAGGAATTGGATGGAAATTGCATCTATCTTGCTTAGATAGAGGGACAGATCTCAATTGTTCCCAGTGTCTGCTTTCCAGTAAGTGGGGAATTGGTGGGAATGGACTAGCAGTCACTGTGCTGTAGCATAACTACAGTGCTTACACATCTGTAATTGTTGTGCGGTGTTCCAGCCTGTGAGTAGCAAAAATCCCTGTCTCTAAGGGCCCTTCCACACAGCCCTATATCTCAGAATATCAATACAGATAATCCCATATTAGATAACCTAGCTCAAAGTAGATATTGTGGGAATTTCTGCCTTGACATAGGGCTGTGTGGAAGGGCCCCTAGTGATAAGTCTCACTTAAGGTTGCATGTGTGACAACTGGAGAGGGCTCCTGTGCCCTCCGTTTTTGTCTATAAGAATACATTTCAGCAGGTATTACTTGTCATGCAATGAAAAAATGACCAATACCTACTGAAATTTTCTTTTCTACACAAAGGGAGAGACACCACGTTTTCATTTTGGCAAACCAGCCTATAGACCAATGGTTTTCAACCTATGGGTCCCCAGGTATTTTGACCTACAACTCCCAGAAATCCCAGCCAGCTTACCAGCTGTTAGGAGTTCTGGGAATTGAAGGCGAAAACATCTGGGGACCCAGAGGTTGAGAACCACTGCTATAGACAAATGCTCCAAATGCCCAACCAGACTACGGTTACCAGCCAGGCTGGCCTATTAAAATCAGTACCACTAAAAAGATTATATTTAGTAAAAATTTGAATAAAAGCATCAATTATTCTTTTCTTTCTTAGTTGTCAAGCCCAGTGGTGTACATCTGAAACTTGTTCTTCGGTTCCAGGACTTTGGGAAAGCCATGTTCAAACCTATGAGGTAAGCTTGCTCCACTTGGAAACATATGAATTAATTTTGAAGGTGATGGGGAAAATGTTTGGTAACCCTGCTCTGAGCAATTTGTGATTGTTTTGTGGCGTCAAGTCCTTTCTGATGTATGACGAGCCTGTCATGTGGATTTCTTGGCAAGATTTGTTCAGAGAGAGCTTGTCTTTACCTTCCTTTGAGGCTGAGAGAGTGCGACTTTTCTAAGGCCACCCAATAGGTTTCCATGGCTCAACAGGGATTTGATTAATGATTTCCAATGTGGTAGTCTAGTGCCACAACTCCATGCTATTCCAGATCCTTCTGTGAAATAAGCTAAGAAAATAAAACCAAACTGGAGTTGTCATCATTTGCACAAGAAGCAATTTTGTGAGTGGTGGTTTGTTTTATCAGTCAAAAGCAGATATAATAGGAGTTGATCTGGAGTTGCTCCTGACACGACAAAAAAAAACACCCTAAGTTGAAATTTATTTATTTATTTATTTATTTATTCCAAACATTTGTACCCCAGCCTTCTCAATCCCCGAAGGGGAACTCAGGGTGGCATACAGCCGGCAACAATTTGATGCCCATAAAAACAGAACACAGTAAAACACGACAATTACATAATAGGTAAAATCATTAGGTTAAAATCCATTTAAAACAATATTATCAACTAAATAGACATATCTAAATCTGATTCAGCAACCAATGACCCGGTCCAAAACCTGTCTATACAACAACAACAACAACAACACTTTATTTATATACTGCTCTATCTCCCCGAGGGGACTCAGAACGGTTTCCAAGTAACATCAATACATACAGAGTAAACAACATAAACATAAAATTAACAAAGTAATATAAGCATAAAAAATCGCAATAGCACATATATATTTAAAAGAATTCTGCTTGTTCAAGGCAATTTAAAATGGCCGGGCCAAGGCTAGTGCAGTTTCTAGAGGGTCCGGGAAATTAGATGGAATGCTATAGCAGGCAACAACAATAATAGGTATAGTCTATGGATGTTCATTTCCAGGGCCCAATAGGAGGAAATGACCTGGATAAGTGGTAGAAAAAGCTATGGCCATATTCAACAATACCTGGGGCTGATCTAGAACCAGTCGTTCTCAAAAGCTTGTTTAAACCACCAGGTCTTCAAGCTCTTACAAAAGAAGGAGTGGGATGGGGCCTGTTATTTCTCTAGGAAGGGCGTTCCAGAGGTGGGGAACCACCACCAAGAAGGCCCTCTCTCTCATCCCCCACCAACCGTGCCTGCGACGGTGGTGGGAGCGAGAGGAAGGCCTCCCCGGAAGGTCTTAAAGTTTGCGCCGGGTCATAGAGGGAGATGCGATTGCAAAGATAGGCGGGGCCTGAACCGTTTAGGGCTTTATAGGTCATAACCTGCACCTTGGATTTGGCTCAGCAACTTATTGGCAGCCAGCGACACTCCATAGTCCATAGTCCATTCCCAGACATTGTGATTGTTGTCAGCCTGCTACCCAAATGCCTGGTCCCAAAACCATGTTTTCAGCTTCATGCTAAAGGAAAGGAGGGATGTAGTTGATCTAATTTTGCTGGGGAGCGTGTTCCACAGGAAGGCCCTGTCTCTCGTCCCCACCAAGTGTGTTTGCGACGAGAGCAGGATTGAGAGCAGAGCCTCCCCGGACAATCTTAGACTCTGAGGCAGGACATAGAGGGAGATATGTTTGGACACGTAAACTGAGCCGGAACTGTATAAATTGAAAGATAAATTGAAGGCTTTCTTTTTTTTTTTTCATTTCTGCTGCTGTTTAGATATTAGTTTGGAACCCACACCTGCATGTTAAATGGAGTTGAATTCTCCCAAAAGTTTCCCATGCCTCTTCTTTCCTTTTTGCAAAATCAGGGGGGAATGGCGGGGAATTCTAAAATGTTTTGACTTCAAATGCCCCATAATACTTTCTTGACACCTTTTTGGGGCACTCTATCCTCTGTTTCAGAATTTCTAGGTGTCTCCTCAACCTTTAGTCTCTATCCAAGCAAAATGGAGTGGAGAGATCGGACACTATAGGATCTGGGGCAGTATTGTTCCCCATCTCTTTTCTTACTATGCAGAGAAATTTTCCTTTTTTTAGGCCCCTTTTACACTGACATATAAAATCCAAATTTTCCACTTTGAACTGGATTATATGGCAGTGTAGACACATATAATCCAGTTGACAGCAGATAATGTGGTGTATCTGCTTAGATCAGGGGTCCTCAAACCTTTTAAACAGAGCGCCAGGTCATAGTCCCCCAAACTGTTGGAGGGTCAGATTATAATTTGAAAAAAACATGAATTAATTCCTATGCACACTGCACATATCTTATTTGTAGTGCAAAAAAACACTTCAAAACAATACAATAATTAAAATGAAGAACAATCTTAACAAATATAAACTTATTAGTATTTCAATGGGAAGTGTGGGCCTGCTTTTGGCTGATGAGATAGGATTATTGTTGTTGTGTGCTCTTGAGTCATTATAGACTTAGATTGACCCTGAGCGAGGGCCGGGTAAATGTCCTTGGAGGGCCGCATCCGGCCCCCGGGCCTTAGTCTGAGGACCCCTGGCTTAGATAATCTGTATTATATGGCAGTGTAGAGGGGGCCATACACAGTACCCCACAGATTGAGGTTTTGCAACCCATCCCCTCCCCGAGTCCCTGCTTGGAAACACCTCCCCCAACACTGCAATCTTCTCTTTGAAAGTAAACTGTGGTGTGAAAGGCTGTTTCCACAATTATTTTAACCCAACCATTGGAATGAGCTGAAAGGGGTGAAATGAATAAAATATACCTCCGGTGCCTATTGTGAAGCACTTTTCTTCAAGCTGAAATGATGTCAACTGCTAGGGTTCATAACCCCTTCCTTTCTTTCAGACAGAAACGTGATGAGGAGACTCCAGAAGATTTTTTCTATTTTGTTGACTTTCAAAGACACAATGCAGAAATTGCTGCCTTCCACCTTGACAGGTAATTCCACACATAACAGTTTTCTGACCTCTTTCTTCCACTGCATAGCTGGGAACAAAACACATTGCAGCTTCAGATGGGGAGAAGAAGAAAATAAAGTGGCTAAAGTTTCATGAAGGCTGGAGAATAGATCTTTGTTGTTGTTCATTCGTTCAGTCGTCTCCAACTCTTCGTGACCTCATGGACCAGCCCACGCCAGAGCTCCCTGTCGGCCATCACCACCTCCAGCTCCTTCAAGGTCAGTCCAGTCACTTCAAGGATGCCATCCATCCATCTTGCCCTTGGTCGGCCCCTCTTCCTTTTACCTTCCACTTTCCCCAGCATAATTGTCTTCTCTAGGCTTTGCTGTCTCCTCATGATGTGGCCAAAGTACTTCAACTTTGTCTCTAGTATCCTTCCCTCCAATGAGCAGTCGGGCTTTATTTCCTGGAGGATGGACTGGTTGGATCTTCTCGCAGTCCAAGGCACTCTCAGCACTTTCCTCCAACACCACAGCTCAAAAACATCTATCTTCCTTCGCTCAGCCTTCCCTAAGGTCCAGCTCTCACATCCGTAGGTTACTACAGGGAATACCATGGCTTTGACTAGGCGGATCTTTGTCGCCAGTGTGATGTCTCTACTCTTTACTATTTTATCGAGATTGGGCATTGCTCTCCTCCCAAGAAGTAAGCGTCTTCTGATTTCCTGGCCACAATCTGCATCTGCAGTAATCTTTGCACCTAGAAATACAAAGTCTGTCACAGCCTCCACATTTTCTCCCTCTATTTTCCAGTTGTCAATCATTCTTGTTGCCATAATCTTGGTTTTTTATGTTTAGCTGCAACCCAGCTTTTGCACTTTCTTCTTTCACCTTGATTAGAAGGCTCCTCAGCTCCTCCTCGCTTTCGGCCATCAGAGTGGTGTCATCTGCATGTCTGAGGTTGTTAATGTTTCTTCCAGCAATTTTCACCCCAGCTTTGCATTCATCCAGCCCCGCACATCGCATGATGTGTTCTGCATACAAGTTAAAAAGGTTGGGTGAGAGTATGCAGCCTTGCCATATGCCTGGTCCAGATTATCTGCTTTGAACTGGATTATATGAGTCCACATTGCCAGATAATCTAGGATAAGAAGATAATCTAGGATCAGATCCTGGGATATAGTGCAGTGTCGATCCACCTGGAATTGTCAGAAAGGATAATTGCTTATAGGACTGTTGCAAGAAGTGACTCCAGATCATGATTTTAATCAGCTCCCAACCTGGATGTCTTTAAAGCAATGGTTCTTAACCTGTGCACTGTGGACCACCAGTGGGCCATGAAGATGGAAATCTGGTTTCTGAGTCTTGCCCTCAATGTGTTGCCTCTTTATTTTATTTTATTTCTGCTCCTTTCATGCCTCCTGCCACTCTTTTCCTGTCACTGACCATGGCATATATTCTGTATCAGAAACTAGAGCTGATGTGGTCTATCCAATGCAACTTTCCGAATCAGCACCCCAAACCAAATCTAAAGTTAACCAAAAACTGATTCATAACCCTTTTGGTACTAATGTTGGAGAGTGGTCCCTAGTCAAAAAGAGATTGGGAACTGCTGCTTTAGAAGGAGAGTGAAGGGTGGGGCTACCAGCCTTCACAGACTATGGGCCATGAGAACCGTACATTACCTGCAATATTAGAGTTTATATGCACCTGTGCAGTTGTTTTGGAGGCCCCTTCTACTCTGAAATATAATCCAAATTATCAATTTTAAATGCCAGCCTCTTTTATACAAAACTGTACAGTTAGATGGTTTAAATCTGGGACTGTACTAAGCAGTAGGATAAAAGAAATGTAGCAATACTTCCCTAAACTGTGCTGTTAATCCTAGCTAGGTGTGGTTGCGATTGTTGTGTGTCTTCAGGCTTTTCCTGACATGGTAACCCTATCACAGGGTTTTCTGAAACTGATGTGTTACTCATCCAAGGTCACCCAGCAGATTTCCATGGCCAAGTGGAAAATTGGGCTAGACTTTTGAATCGGTTGGATTTAACTGTATGTTGACTCAGCATTCAACAATTGATTTACTAAGACTGCTCTGGCTGGAACTAACCAAAAGGTTACTGCATTATTTCTCTGAATCCTCAATGCTAGCATCACAAGAATTCTTTTCAATCCCATTTTCCCCATTCAATGAATCATCAGAACATGCTTTAACAGTGAGTGTTGGAGGCCTCCAAGCTGGTGTCTTAGAGAGGTAGATACAACTCCCATTATCCTTAGCAGGCTTAGTCATTAGGAAATATGGGAGTTGTAATTAAAGATAAAGGTTTTCCTTTGACATTAAGTCTAGACGTGTCTGATTTTGGGAGGTGGTGCTCATCTCTATTTCTAAGCCGAAAAGCTTATCTGTGGATGCCTCCAAGGTCATGTAACCAGTATGACTCCATGGAACGCTGTTACCTTCCCACCAAAGTGGTACCTATTGACCTACTCACATTTGCATGTTTTCAAACTGCTAGGTTGGCAGAAGCTGGGGCTAGCAATGCGAGTTCACCCCACTTCCCAGATTTGAACTGCTGACCTTTTGGTCAGCAAGTTCAGCAGCTCAACGGTTCAAGCCACTGTGCCACTGGGTGCTCCAGGAGTTGTAATTAATCATCCCTAAAAGGAACCAGATTTGTAGCTGCTGCATGATTTTGTAAGATTGATTCCTTGTTCCATAGATCATCACAAAGCCATCAATCATATTGCACATATCAGGTATCAAACAGCCAACTCTACAATAAATCTCTCTAATTTTTTTCCTCTTTTTTGTTCCAAGGAAAATTTAATCTGGACGTCTCAGGCTCCTTCTGCACTGCCATATGATCCAGATTATCAAATCAGATAATACACATTAAGTACTTTGAACTGGATTATACGCGTCTACAGTGCCATATAATCCAGTTCAAAGCAGATAATCTGGATTTTGTATGGTAGTGTAGAAGGGGCCTCAGAAGCTTAATCAGGCCTGGTATTCCAGCTATGCATGTAGCATCTTAGCATGCACTCAGGCCCCATCTACACTGCCATATAAATCCAGATTATCTGCTTTGACCTGGATTATATGAGCCTACAATGCCATATTAAAACAGATAATCTGGATTGTACATGGCAGTGTAGATGGGGCCCCAGTCAATCTCACTTTATTTCCTGCTAAACAATGTGTGGTTGGGTGACTATGTGTTTGCCTTGGTGTTTTGCAGGACCCAAGTTGATTTGCTGTTTGTTTGCTTTTATGTTTACCAAGCGACAATCAAAACTCCAATTCCAGTTATCTTGGGGACATTTTAAGAGGCATTTGTGCCAGTATTAGTCATTCTGCCTGGTGGTTTCTGACTCACTAGCCAAACAATGTTTTGTTTTGCTGACAAAACAACATCAAGCCCCAAAGCACCCTTTGCTGTTCTTGTGATAGGAATCACCCTAGATAGTACAAATAGCTCTACTTCAAAGGATCTTCCAAGCTGTTGCAGGCTGAACAGAAATAGAGTCCTACTTGAGCAGACCAAAGACCTCTCTGGCCCCATTTACACTGCCACATAAAATCCAGATTATCTGTTCTGAACTGGATTGTAGGTAAAGGTAAAGATTTTGGCCAGCAAAAATAGAGTATAGTGTCTAGATCCAAGTCATACTACCCCTCTATTCTGCCTTGGTCAGACCACATCTGGAATACTGTGTCCAATTCTGGGCACCACAATTGAAGGGAGATGTTGACAAGCTGGAATGTGTACAGAGGAGGGCGACTAAAATGATCAAAGATCTGGAAAGCAAGCCCTATGAGGAGCGTCTTAAAGAGCTGGCATGTTTAGCCTGAAGAAGAGAAAGCTGAGAGGAGACATGATGAGACCCATGTATAAATATGTGAGGGGAAGTCATAGGGAGGAGGGAACAAGCTGCCCTGGAGACTAGGATGCGGAACAATGGCTTCAAACTACAGGAAAGGAGATTCCATCTGAACATTAGGAAGAGCTTCCTGACTGTGAGAGCTGTTCAGCAGTGGAACTCTCTGCCCCGGAGTATGGTGGAGGCTCCTTCTTTGGTGGCTTTTAAGCAGAGGCTGGATGGCCATCTGTTGGGGGTGCTTTGAATGTGATTTTCCTACTTCTTGGCAGGAGGTTGGACCGAATGGCCCATGAGGTCTCTTCCAACTCCATGATTCTATAATTCTATAATTCTAGTGTGAAAGAGTCCATTGTTAAAGATACACCTGGTGCCTTTTGTATGTAAATCTCCATAGTCGAGATACAAAGAAAACCACAGTTGCGAAAAGTTAAAAAAAAACCCACAAACCAAAATCCATTTTCTTGTCCCAACTAGAAGTATGCACATTGAGTTAATTGCTGGATGAGAAGTCATTCTTTGTGTAATTGATTCAGCATGTGTTCCATAGTTGGGGCCTAACCACTGGATTTCAGAATGTGGAAAGGTGCACTCTGAACCTGTGAATCATTTATCAGCATTTCTGTGTACCAGGAAGTCCATGCCCTATTCATCCTGAAATCCTTGCATAACTGTGAGTATTTTGGCCTCACACTCCACATTATTTTGAAACTATGATTACTGACAGCAGCTGTTCCTGGTACCGAGAACAGCTCCATGTCTTGTAAGGAAGCAACTGATATTTTCTACCTGATAGAGGAAGCCAAATAGGCACAGTCTTCCTGTTGGTCAACCTCCAGATAATTACATACCATATTTTCATTTTGCTGCAATCCTCCTACATAAAGTACTTGGCAGAACATTTAATCCTACCCACATTTCACTACAATGCATGCCAGCCTTCATTTACAAAATTGGCCATTCTACTCTTTGGTTCTTCCCAGCTGACCTTATTCAAAAGTATCTGTGGCTAAGGAAACAGTGTCACTAAGTGCAATGATGTGATGTGAAGGATAAGCACTAAGCTTGGTTGATCCAAAAACAAAATGGCTCAAAGCTTGTTTCGGATGTAGGGGGCACTGGTGGTTCGATTCTAAAGTCAATTCCGATTTTCACAGAAAAAAATTTCAAAACTTTTCAAAACTTCTGAGACTTCCGAATCCTTTCATTAATGGTTTGAAAGTGTTATCAGTTTCATTGGGAGGTCTTTACTTTGAAAGTAGTTGTTTTACTCCAGAGGTGGGGAAAAACAAGCAGGGGAAATTCATTCCTTCTCTGGTTTAAAACTGGCTTCTCTGGCTTGAGCCGAGGCCAGGAAATTCCTTCCTTCTCTGGTTTAAAACTGGCTTTTCTGGCTTGAGCCAAGGCCAGGGACCAGAAGTGGGGAAAAGCAAGCGAAGGAAATTCCTTCCTTCTCTGGTTTAAAACTGGCTTCTCTGGCTTGAGCCAAGGCCAGGGACCAGAAGYGGGGAAAAGCAAGTGAAGGAAATTCCWTCCTTCTCTGGTTTAAAACTGGCTTCTCTGGCTTTAAAACCRGCTTCTCTAGCTTGAGCCRAGGCCAGGAAATTCATTCCTTCTCTGGTTTAAAACTGGCTTCTCTGGCTTTAAAACTAGCTTCTCTGGCTTGAGCGAAGGCCAGGAAATTCCTTCCTTCTCCGGTTTAAAACTGGCTTCTCTGGCTTTAAAACTRGCTTCTCTGGCTTGAGCGAAGGCCAGGAAATTCCTTCCTTCTCTGGTTTAAAACTGGCTTCTCTGGCTTAAGCCGAGGCCAGGAAATTCCTTCCTTCTCTGGTTTATAACTGGCTTCTCTGGCTTGAGCCGAGGTCAGTGACCAGAAGCGGGGAAAAGCAAGTGGAGGACATTAATTCCTTCTCTGGTTTTTATCTATCTCTGTTTCTATCTTTAAGAGCATATTTTAACTAAGAGGTTTCAAGAGAGTGCTTATATTTTTGGGCAACTTCAATTTCAATGAAATAACCATCCTCTGCTAATCCAATATGTTTTTGAAGTGGCATGTCTTTATCCATGGCAGTTTAAAGACATGGTTCTTCAGTTTAACAGTTGAGTTACCTGTGTGCCATTACATGAATGCTTGTGAATAGCACTTGTTCAAAGATCATGCTTTTCTTGACAAGTGGTTTTCAAAAGGCGGTCTCCCCATGTTCACGAAGATTCACATTTGCCAAAAGGATGTGACATCATTTTTAGCTTTAAGGTTATGGTGCAGTTATTTCCAATAGGTTTTGGAATTCCCAATCCTTTCTTTCAGTTGCATTGCAAATTGACTAGATTTCCTCCATTCCTTACTTACCTTGCTTCCCCTTCTTGCTTCCAGGATTCTAGATTTCCGTCGTGTTCCTCCAGTGGTTGGGAGAGTAATCAACATTACTAAGGAGATTTTAGAGATCACCAAGAATGAAATCCTCCAGAGTGTCTTTTTTATTTCACCAGGTATGTTTCACCTGCACTGCCTGAAGAGAAGGAAGAGATTAACATTGGCCAGAATCCTGTTAAGGATTTGCGTTTTCATAAGCGAACTTACATCTGTGGGAAATAGAATTGGGCAGGTCGATAGTATCTATGTCCAATAAAGGCCTTCTGATAGGGCAGCCAGCAAAGTGGCTGATGGGCATTGGGACTGATACAAATTAAGACCAACACATATGAATGGGATGCTAACTAGGGTGTGCTGAAGATCATCAGGATATTGCTGGTGCGCCATTTACACACCTTTGTAATTAACTAACAGGGTTTTTAGTTCTTCTGCTATGTAGCTAAGTATGGTTGCCCACCCCCGTCCCTTTCTACAGATTCTATATCCAGAATTCAAAAGTATTTGGGGGGGAAATCCAAAAAATCAAACCTTGCTTTTGTCATATGCCAGGTACTACACTGATATGTAGGCATTCTCTGCTGTATTTTTCCTCATTTTAACAGATGCTCAGGTTATCTCCAGAATTTGATATGTTCACTGCTTTATACAAGTGACACCATCTTATTTATTTATTTGCAGTATATATATTTCACCCTTCTCACCCCGAAGGGGACTCAGAGTGGATCACAGAACACAAATACAGCAAACATTCAATGCCGTGTATACACTGACAAGACAGACAATTGTATATAGATAGAGAGATATAGGCTTTTCCCATCTTCGGCACCTTGGAGGCTATGCTAGTTCCGGCCACCAGGGGGGGCTGGTACTCTATCTCCCTGCCAAAGAGCTTTGTTTGTAAACTTCCTCCTTGATTGAATCGCTGACATTTTTCTGGCATTTCCATATGGGTGACTTAAATACCTCCCTGCTTAAGCGGTACCTATTTATCTACTCACATTGCTGTTTTCAAAACTGCTAGGTAGGCAGAAGCTGGGCTAGAGAGCAGGAGTTCACCCCGATCCAGGTTTTGAACTGTCAACCTTTTGAATGGCACAATTTACTGCAGCTGGTGGGTAACCTGCTGTTCTAAAGCCCAGCCCTTAATAATGCCATTGTGTATCCATGGATCTTGATAACCATGAAGGATCCTGGAACCCAAACCAGTTTAGATAGCAAGAGCCCACTATATATTTAGAGTTATGCATCATACACAATGATTGAGGATTCTGGCTAAGTTTCTCAATGCCAAAGTGTGAGCGCAGCCTCTAACTTTTGAATAAATAAAAACGGAAGCACACAGGCTATAACAGAGACTTTTGCATAATGCTAAAGGTATTTGTTATCCTACACATATGGTGTACTGGAAAGCTATTTCTTTATTCAAATGGACATTCTGTGAGAAATCCACAGCTTGCCAAAGGCTATGGAAGTGACAGAAACAAGATACAAGAGATCAGCATGTGTGACAGTCCACACACAGTTGGCATGCTTTCTTTGTCCTCTGTGAAGACTACTTGCTTAGGAAATTTGTCCTCATACTTATCTGTCAGGAAGAGTAGAAGTATAACTCTCTTCTCAGCATCTCGACATTCCAGGAAGTAGATGGATGACAGAGTTGGCAGCAACAGAGCCGCTCAACTCCTATATCCCAAATGTTCGAAAAGCATGAGTCACTAACAGATATTTGTTTATGTAGTTACTTTATTTTTATCCCAGCTTTCTCCTGATATAGAGACTCACAGTTGCACACAATAGATATAAAACAATGCTAATTAAAAACAATGCAAAGACATTAAAATGTAACACTACTTCAACTAACCTGGACCCAAGCCGCATAGGACTTTATAGATCAAAACCAGCACTTTGAATTGCCTAAAGACAAGGAAGTGTTGCAACAGGAGAGTTGTGGGTTTCCTGTTGCCAGGCCCAAAGCCGGGGGGGGGGGGGGGGGGGCTTGAGCGGATTCAGACCGCCCCCCCCCCCCAAAATTCTCAGGGTGCTCCAGAAGAAGACCTTACTGGTACTTTATTCAAATTGTTATGTTTATTCATATCATGATCTGATCACCATGCTCAATATATCCCATATGCATGAGGGTATTGGTATAATGACACTAAAGGTTTGCTAGGGTAGATCCTGAGTGTAGATGGGGCCGAAGGGTATGAGTAGGGTCGATCCTGATGAGCCCCCCCCCCGAATCAAACTCACACCCCCCCAATCAAACTCAGCCCCCCCGGATCAAACTCACCCCCCCGGATCAAACTCAGCCCCCCCAGATCAAACTCAGCCCCCCCCCAATCAAACTCACCCCTCCCCGGATCAAACTCAACCCCCCCAGATCAAACTTAGCCCCCCCAGATCAAACTCAGCCCTCCCCTGATCAAACTCAGCCGCCCCCCGAATCAAACACCCACCCACCCCCAGATCAAACTCAGCCCCCCAATCAAACTCAGCCCTCCCTGATCAAACTCAGCCCCCCCCAAATCAAACTCAGCCCCCGATCAAACTCAGCCCCCTGAATCAAACTCAGCCCCCCAATCAAACTCAGCCCCCGAATCAAACTCAGCCCCCGAATCAAACTCAGCCCCCCAAATCAAACTCAGCCCCCCGAATCAAACTCAGCCCCCATGAATCAAACTCAGCCCCCACGAATCAAACTCAGCCTCCCGAATCAAACTCAGCCCCCCGAATCAAACTCAGCCTCCCGAATCAACAAACTCAGCCCCCCCCCAATCAAACTCACCCCTCCCCGGATCAAACTCAACCCCCCCAGATCAAACTTAGCCCCCCCAGATCAAACTCAGCCCTCCCCTGATCAAACTCAGCCGCCCCCCGAATCAAACACCCACCCACCCCCAGATCAAACTCACCCCCCCAGATCAAACTCAGCCCTTCCCTGATCAAACTCAGCCCCCCCAAATCAAAACCAGCCCCCCGATCAAACTCAGCCCCCCCTGAATCAAACTCAGCCCCCCCCCACCCCAATCAAACTCAAACCCAGCCCCTCGAATCAAACCCCACCCCCCCCAACCAAACCCCCCCCCCCCCCCCCCCCCCCCCCCCCCCCCGGATTAAACTCAGCACCCACACCCACCCCCCGGATCAAACTCACCATTCCCGAATCAAACTCAGCCCCCCCGATCAAACTCAGCCCTTCCCTGATCAAACCCAGCCCCCCCCAAATCAAACCCAGCCCCCCAAATCAAACCCAGCCCCCCCTGAATCAAACTCAGCCCCCCCAATCAAACTCACCCCCCGAATCCAAATCTTGGCTATGGGTTGCCTGTTGCCATTATAATGATTGTGAGTAAGTGGATATTAAAAATACAACATAATATTATATTTTGACCCTTTACAATCCTAAAACTGGGAAATCTATCCCTTTGAAGAAAAAGGAAATAGAGGGGGTTTTATCAAGGTTGTTGACATCTGATTCTTTGCTGTTATAGTAATAGGACACTGTTCTAAACGCCATGTCACTCATGCATCCTGCTCTCTCCATAGCCAGCAATGTCTGTTTCTTTGCCAAGTGCCCTTACATGTGCAAGACGGAATATGCTGTGTGTGGGAACCCTCACCTGCTGGAAGGATCCCTCTCTGTTTTCCTGCCTTCCCTCAATTTGGCACCCCGACTCTCCATCCCCAACCCATGGATACGATCCTACACTTTTGCTGGAAAAGAGGAGTAAGTGGGTAAATGGACCTCTCTCTTTGCCTATGACTACTATCGCTTCCATACACAGCACTTTAAAAATGTTTGCTCTTTGACGTTTATTGTGCCTGGTGGTTCTTCAAAATCTGGTGGTATTGATAAGTTGTACATTTAACTGACAGCAAATCCCTGTTAAACACAGTGCCACAAGCACTAATGTTATACCAGATCCACACAAAATCTATGCTTGGCCTCATCATTCAAGAATTGAATCAACTGGCCTTTTCTAATTGTAGACTAACCAATATTCAGGTCATTAGATTTAGTCTGCTGATGTTCACTTTGTATTATTATGTGCTCGATCTTCCAGATAGGTTGTAATAAAAATCCCATTAATTCCAGTCAGTACAATCATCATATGTGCTGGGTTGCTGTGAGTTTTCTGGGCTGTATGGCCATGTTCCAGAAGCACTCTCTCCTGATTTTTTGCCCACATCTATGGAGGCATCCTCAGAAATGTGAGGTCTATTGGAAACTAGCAAGTGATGTTTATTTATCTCGGTAATGTCCAGGGTGGGAGAAAGAACTCTTATCTGCTTGAGGAAAGTGTGAATGTGGCAATCGGCCACATTGTTTAGCATTAAATGTCTTCACAGCTTCAAAGCCCGGCTGGTTGCTGCCTGGGAGAATCCTTTGTTGGGAAGTGTTAGCTAGCCCTGATTGTTTCTTGTCTGGAAATCCCCTTTTTTAGTGTTGTTCTTTATTTACTGTGCTGATTTTCTCCTTTTTATTGAAATTGTCCACATGCTTGTGTATTTCAATTATGTCTCTGTTTAGTATTTAAAAACTCTAAAATCAGGACAGTAAATAAAGAGCAACACTCAAGAAACAGGGGAATTCCAGACAAGAATTAATCATGGATCTGTAATTGGTTAAATGGACGAACCCAGAGGGTGCTCACCAATGTTTCCTCTTCATCCTGGAAAGAAGTGACGAGCGGAGTGCCACAAGCAGGGTTCTGTCCTGGTCCTGGTCCTGTTCAACATCTTTATTAATGACTTGGATGAAGGGCTAGAAGGCATGATCATCAAGTTTGTAGACGACACCAAATTGGAAGGGATAGCCAATATCCAGAGGACAGGAGCAGGATTCAAAACGATCTTGACAGATTAGAGAGATGGGCCAAAACTAACAAAATGAAGTTCAACAGTGACAAATGCAAGATACTCCACTTAGGCAGAAAAAACAAATGCAAAGATACAGAATGGGGGACAATGCCTGGCTCGAGAGCAGTACGTGTGAAAAAGATCTTGGAGTCCTCGTGGACAACAAGTTAAACATGAGCCAACAATGTGATGTGGCAGCAAAAAAAGCCAATGGGATTTTGGCCTGCATCAATAGGAGAATAGTGTCTAGATCTAGGGAAGTCATGCTACCCCTCTATTCTGCTTTGGTTAGACCACACCTGGAATATTGTGTCCAATTCTGGGCACCACAATTCAA